GAAGAAGAGAGAGAGAGAGAGAGAGAGAGAGGTGGGGGTTCAATGGAGGTTGAATGAATGAGAGAGGGCAAGTGGGATGAAGGGATCCATGGGTGATGAAGAGCAAGAGAAAAGGGTATATTATCTAAGGTTTGGATGATGGGATCATTCATAAATAAATAAATAAGAAAAAAAAATGTAACAAGAGGGTTAAATGTCTATTTTTCTTTTCAACTTGAATAGGTTATACGGGCTTTCCATACACCTGAAGGCTTATTTAGTATTATATCTAGGGGAAAAAGGGTATATGACATTTTCCCTAGAATGAAAAAAGAAAAAAAAAAACCCACTCATGTAGTAGTTGTTGGGTGTGTGTGGCCATTAAAGGCCTTATGATTGCTTGTAAATGAATTTACATGGTGGAACACGAGCTGAGTGGGAGTATGGTCCCATGTGGACTATACTAAGCAAACTATGTTTTTTGATACCGGATTGTGTTTAATGTGCTAAGCCCCTTTGGTTGGGAAAAACTCATTCTACTTGGGCATATAAAACCTCATTCTACTTGGGCATATAAAACTAAACCAATGAGAGTTATGATGGGTCATCGATTTATATGGTCAGAGTATAGTCAGATGAGTGAGCCGAGGGATTGTTTAACCCTTGTGTATGATGGAGGCCTTTAGAGATGGGGCCAAAGCTTCATCTATGTGTCATCACACGACATGCACATTGATTGTCATTTTTGGGAAAGCAAACGACATTTCAGGTTTAAGCGTATGCGTGTGCAAAAAATAACCCCTATGCACCATCGAGCAATGGATTGCATCAAGGTCTAGGTGACATTGATTCATCTCTAAGGGAGAACCTGAAATCTATAAGGTCTAGGTGACATTGATTCATCTCTAAGGGAGAACCTGAAATCTATAGATTGGGACTACGACCCCTTACCTATTGGCTAGACTTTAGTGGCATGTTAATGATCCGCTACATGGATTGTGGGTCGGGGGCATTGCTGGGTCGTTTTGAGAAAACTTGTGTGGTCCGTCGTCTACAATTGAAAGTGAAGTACCACATTTAAAGGTGGAGTGTCCCAATGCACATTTATTCGTAGACCATATGGATTCTTTTCTCATCAAAGTATTTAATTTTGTTTATTTTAATAACATATAATTTTTAGAATTGTTATTTGAATTTTTTTTTAAATCTCTAGATATTTTATTTATCAAATTTGAATTTATAAGACAGATATATTGATTTTATATTGATTTAAATATTTAAATATATTTTTATGAATTTTTAAAAATAATATTATTTTAAATATTGCATGGGAAGCCCAATAGGACTTATGGGCCCACCATGGCAAATTAGGTGGGGCCCATTATGTGCCACAAAGGTTAGCACGCCCCACCTAGGTGGTTTTCTATTTTCTAAGAGCTCAAGTTCTAGGCCTTGAGCGGAAAGAAACTTGTGTTTTAGAAAGCTTAAGCCTTTAGGAAATTTTGAAAGGAATTTTTGTCTATGTGAGAAGGCTTATGCATAAAATAAGAAATGATGACTTATCATATATTAATTTCTTATTTGAATTAATTGATAAGAAATTGGTTTAAGAAGTGGGGAATAATGGTTCTAGCACCTTTCATATGATATTGATGACCTATCTATAGAACAGACAACTCTTATCTCTTACCCTACAAATCACCCAAGATCAATGGTGCATATACAATCTCACAATAAAAGGTAAGCCAAGGAAACCCTAGATTTATTCAAGTATTATAAAAAGGGGAGTACCCTACTTAAATCTCTACACCTTAAAACTTTTCCATCTCTCTCTCATCCAATTACCAGGCACGCCCCACTCTCTTACTTTCATGGTGGCTGTCTCATCTCTCCCATCTCTCATCTCACATTGGGGCCAAGTCTTCAGGCCATGGAGAGTTACTATCTCTCAAATTAGGTTATCAAAAGGGGTTCACCTTATGTTTGAGTTTTGTTGATCAAAAGGGTTCATGTTCCACTGGTATGGCTTGTCTTAAACTTGCTATCCCGATTGAGATTAAAGGTTTAACCATTAGACCCTGTGCCATCGGAAAGTGGTGACTCGGTGCGGGGTGTAAAAAGCCTTGTTGAGATAATCTCCGACACCCTCTTTAGTTTCTTGTTTATTTTCTTATTGTCTTCTTTGTTTCAAAGCATAGGTTGTGTCTTTTCTTTGTTAATGAAAAGTAAAGTTTTGAATGACTTAAGTTTTTGAGATCTTATTGTATTCTTTTCTTTTCTTTTATTTAAAATTATTTTATTATAAAATGACTATGTGTTAGTGACCTAAGCCGTGAAGAAAAAAAAAAAGAATTGAGAAAGAAAAAAAAAAAATTTATTTACTCCTGCTAGATCACACGAGTCCTTTCAGTATTGACTCACAAGCTATGGTGCTAGTAGTGACTCACAAGCTATGGTGCCATTTGGATGTCTTGGCAGTTCTATAGGCCATTGTGAGTAAAGGTAGTCTCATGATCAAGTGAACGAGCATCCAATTTTTCAGAGATACCAGAAAAACAGTTTTATCATGTGTGTCTATAAAGACAAACTAGAGTTTATAGGCACATATTTTGCCGATAAGTATGCTTCCGAGTTTAATTTTGCAGTGAATAGAGACAAGCTAGCACTCCACCCACTCATGCACAAATATGGGAGAGATTTATTTGACAAAAATGTTTAAAGTGAGCCCTATTGCCCTTCCTTCACCCAGAAGGGGGAGGAGCCAGTTTTAGAGAAAGAGGAGGGGAAATGGTTCTCAATTCTCATTATCAATTGACAGTTTGTTAAAAATAGGTTTAATATTAAAAAAAAAAAGGTTTGTCACAAATAGGTGGTTAGTACCTGGATCAGAGATGACCAAAAAGTTGAAACACTGAACCATAAAATATTGTGGTAGTGACTAGCATGCTAAACATTAATTGTTCATGTGCCCTCTCCACCCTTCTTAATTTCAGTCACCCATCCACCACCCATGTGAAGACATGGCCCTCAGTCTCCAAATAAGTCTAGACATGGCCTTCAGGCTTCAAATAAGCCTAGAATTTTGTGTCCCACCCCATTCAAAACTTTGCCCATGTAGCCCCTTCTCATCCACTTAACCCTTTTCTTGAGCATAAATAATGAACACCATAGTTGGCCCATAGGGCTCTTTTCAACTCTTGTTATTAACTTACCTCTTTTTCATATGCCCCATTTCTAGCACTAGCATAACAAGTCCTCTTTTTTTTGCATGGGTCAAGTTTCTCTTACCAAAAACTTGGGGCCCAACTCCATTATATCTAGTTGAGATCCATTGGTTGAGACCTCAATTCCATCACTCCAAATTGGTTATTCTCCTCTTTAAAATACTAGATCTCATTAAAACATTCCCCACTCCATTATCTCTCTCTCTCTCT